CTGTATCTGCTTCCTTTAGATCATGCAGCATTTTATAGCCCTGCTAAAATAATAATCCCAGTTCTTCAGTCTTGCTACTTAGAAGTTTTTCTAGGCACTTAATCATTTTTTTTATCTCCTCCAAATCTATTTTAATTCTGTAATATCCTTTGGAATGGGATGGCCAGCCCTGAAGAAGGCATTCTTGATGAGATTGCACCAACTGTTTATGTGGCATAAGGTTTTCCATATTGTTCTCCCTCCCTTCCTTTGCTTTTTTCCCCACAGCTGCATGTTGAGCTAAAATCTTTACTGAGCTATCCAAAATTGTACCTGTGTCCCTTTATTAAGTGTATACAGTTAATTTAGAAAGCTGTCAGGTATACTATGCCAAACTTATGAGGTCTACCACATGTGATGAGTTTAGGATGGTCCCCTTGAAATATGTCCCAGAGCAGAGCTGTCCAGCTGACAGCCTCTGGGCCACATAGAGCACCTGAAGAGTTAATTTGTGGTCCTCTGGCTTTTGTTCCAGGCACCACTTCTCCCAGCACTCTCCTGCTGCTGTGAGGGTCTTTGGAATCTTCCTCCCTGCTCCAGCTTCCACTTCCTGGGGGCAGGATGGAGTAATACAGCTTGTGAGGCTGAGAGAACTTGTGACTAGTGAATTTGGGAGGACCCAGGGATCCCACAGGTAGGGGGAGGGGTGCATGGCCTGTGGTCCCTAGCCATTTGGAAGCTGGACAGCCCTGTCTTAGAGGTTGCATTGTACTCCTGATGAGAGGCACTAGCACTGTAGTGGGAGAAGTGTGAATCCATTCTGAACCTGCAATTTTTTTTTTGTTGCACACCAAAATTTTTTTTCCTTGTCTGTAAGGCTGGTGCTGTTCTGAAGGTGCAGCAGCATTTTTCCTCCAGTATGCATTGTTTTGCAGTGATCAACTTTGAATGTTTTTGATCATTTTACCAGTGTTGGCAACCCAAGACACTTTTTTTTTTTTTTTACTAGCATTCTGAAAATGTTTTACTGGCAGACAAACTTTTTTACTGCCCTGTTTTACATAATGTAAATCTAACCCTTCTGCCAGACCATGGACAAGAGCTGAGTTCATATTTAGGGGTTCAATGCCAACCATAATAAAATGTTTGGCTGTCCATAACAAGTTTGCACATTATTGGTTAAAAAAAAAAAAAAAAAATAGAAATAATTCTTGAGTTGGCACCATTGCTTGACTGCAGCAATGGTTTTACACCTTGTTGCCCCCACCCTGCGATCCTCTATTCAACTGGACACCCTGATGCTCTCACTGCACCTCCTGCCATGCTCTCCCCCTGCCTTGCCCCTGCTGGTTCCACCCCCTCTTCAGGCACAGAACCCCAAAGAAAAACTGTTGTCTACAAGGTGAACAGTGTTACAGGCAGATGGGTCGCAGCAGCAGCACATGGCTGGGGTAGAGCAGGGAACTATGAAGATTACCATTAGATTAACCAGAAAGCCCTGACAAGAGGTCCCTTTGGGTGCTGCACTCCTGCCCAGACACCAGGTGGAACTGCTGTGCTCTGCCTGCCCTTCCACACTGCGTCCAGCTCCTTTCTGGTGACTGAGCTTCAGTCAAGCTCTGGTGGCTTAATTTTTTTTATGGATGGCTCAGGTTTTCTACAGATTGTACAGACAAGCATTTTTAGCACTGGTTTTTATGGCCTGTCCATGGACAGTTGTCATCCCTGCATTGTACTCATTCATCAAGTGTTTGGATTCCTCACAGCTATCTATGGCTTTCATTAAACTGAGTAACTTTCTTCCACAGATTTTGCTACCCCTTGGTCCTCTGAGTCCCAGATTGCTGAATTTATTTATTAAAAGTACCAAGTTTAGTACATAATCTTGAGGTATCCACATTTCTTTTCACCCCATCCCATGATTAAAATCGTCAAAACTATTTTCCTGGTCTTTTTGTTTCCTGTTTTATGCAGTTTTTGATTCAGGACAAAACTTTACTTCTCACCCTGTTATTTTATTTCTTTAGTAATTTTTTGTTCAAATATCTGAAAGTCTAAATTATGTCAACACATTCTCCTTTCTCCACTGCTTTATTGTCAAATTCAAAGAATGCTAACTGATTAGTGAGGCATGATTTTTTTTCTTTGTAAAAACCATGCTTTCTAGACTATGAAATGACCAGAGGCCTAGAAAAACTCCTGTATGAAAGGAGGAAAATAACTAGAATCCTTAAAGGAGATGGATGAGATGGCATAATAAAGAGGTATATAACACTTGAGAGTATGTGCAAGTTGGCACCACCTTGAGACAGGTACCTGGTCTGTATTTGTTACCTCTGGAACCAGAAGTAATGAGTAATAGCTATATATGTCACAACTATATGACTGTCTCAAGAACAACAGGAAAGTGGACTACTCTGGTAATAAGGTCTCAATTAGTTAACACACACAAAGAGTAATAAGTATATTCTTGCACCAAACTACTTAAAATGGGAACATATTATTTTCTCCCTTCTAAACATTCCCATCTTTACATTCACTTTTGGCCATCAGGAAGATCCAACTAACACCCCTCCAGTACAGAACTGATCTATGCCTAAATATCCTAGTGGGTTTGCTTTGTAATACAAAACATTTCTGACAAACTGTTAACATGCATATTCATCCCCTCATTAAAAACAGCTATGGTGCAGAGGGTTGTAAGATAGTAACGGTTGTCCCTTCATATAAGTATAATCTAGGGGTGATACAGGAAGTTAGGGGCCAGCAGGCCGTATTCTGCATGTAGTAAACTGATTTATCTTCTAAATGTGTATTATTTTAAATAGCTAATGTGATCAAAGGAAAACCTCCTGATCTGCCTTCTCTAGACCACTCAGGGTATGCATGCAAGGCCATGCACAACACTTACTTCCAGAACAAAGTAATGTAACACATTACTGAGATGCTGTGTATACCAGTCAGTTCTCTCTAGTGGTTAGGACACTATCCCTGAGAAAATAATTGGCATGGTTCTGAGACCCCTTAGGTTAAAGAGAGCATTGAACTTGGGTCTTCAATATCCTGGTGAATGCTCTCACCATTAGGCTATTATACACAAGATGGATGCTACCACGTTATTGAAACAAAAGTCAGCATGACTTAGTTAGTTGAAGAAACATAGCTATGGGCATGTTTGCAGAAGAGATTCTGGATCCCAGTTGGACTGAGGTACTTCCCTGAAATCCTTACTTGGGTACTTAAATGTTGGGGGAAGGCAAAGTTTTACAAACATCCCTGTGCTTACTGTTTCTTATTGGTTAGTTTTGGGTGGCTCCCTGCTCAGTCTGGTTTTTTTTTTTTTTTTTTCTTCCAAATTACCCGTATGAGGCTCTTGACTTCCAGTGTGTTCTGCTGGGAGTCAAGGCATCCACCTGTGGCAGCCAGGCACTGAAAAGCTGGGCATTGCAGCACCTAACCTGTAGGACAGGGCAGGCAATTATTTGGGCTTGTGGGCCATGGACAATTCTGGGGAGTTGCTGTGGGCCAGTCAGCATCATCCCTCGCCCCCCGCAACAACTTGGAGCCTGAGCACTCTGCTGCTCCTCCCTGCCACCACCAACAGCGTACAGCCCTAGCCTTAGCCCCAGCCCCTCCCACTCCATGCCTACTCCAGACTTGCCCCAGCTGGAGAGGACCAGCAAGAACCCATGCACACAGCCCTGACCCCAGCCCATCCAGTGACTGCTCCAGTCCCCACCTGCCCATGCTGAGCAGTGGCAGCAGCCAGGCAGAAGTTGCTGCTTGGCATGAGGGAAGTACCCTTTCCCCCTCACCGCTGCCAGGCCCTTCTTGCTGCAGCTGCCTGGAGCTTGCACCTGGGCTACCCTGTATCTCCTCTACTCCACCATCGCCACTGCCTCTGAGCCACCCAGCGGGGCAGTGGTGGCAATGCAGAGGAGCCGCAGGGCAGCCCTAGATGTAGGCTCTGGGTGGCTGCAGCAAGAAAGGCCTGGCAGTGGTGAGGGGGAAGTGACTGCTTTTTCCCCATGTCGAGCAGCAGCTTCTGCCCAGCTGCCACTGCTGCTGTCACTGTTCAGCATGGGTGGGCAAATCTGGAGCGGGTATGGGGTGGGCCAGGGTCAGGGCTGTGCACACGGTTTCCAGCTGGTCTGGAGCTGGTCCACTCCACTGGACTGAGTCTGGAGTGGGCATGGGGTGGGCCAGGGTAAGGGCTGTGCATGCAGGTCCCCACCAGTACCATGGGGCTGTGGCCAGCAGTGGTGGAAGCCAGAAGGAGGTGCTAGTGCCTGGGCTGCCTAGAAGTACAGTCCAGCTGCAGAGCTGCCCCAGCCCTGCTGTGTGCCCAGGGGGTGATGGGATGTACCATGGGCTGGGTGGTGCCTGGGCCAGGCGGGACCGAGGGACCCGCCATGAGCCGGACAATGTACCTCCACAGGCCCACTCCTGCTATAGGGCATATCTGCCTTGGAAACTTACTGTGCCAAGAGCAGTGTCCTTGGACAAGCTATGCTTCTCTGCATAGACTGCCCTCGAGATCAGAAGCAGTATAGTTGCATTTGTATGATGTATTAGATGAGCTATTTAGCATGGCTAAGTGACAAAAATTAGGCTGCTAGCAGTACCACATGAACAGGGCTGTGCTGTTTCCAATTCAGGTAACAGCTTGCCTGGAGCAGTGTGGCATGTTTGAGGATGCTGCTACCTAACACAATAGGTTTGCTATATGGGTATGGTTGTAGGTGACAAAGTCGCTTACAAAATCTAACCTCTGGGTTGTGTTGCTGGCTCTGCTAGTGATCTACTGGATAACCTTTGGCAAGTCACTTCTCCTTTCTCTGTGTCTCCATTTCCCCATTGTTAAGTGTGGATGATGTCACCTTCCTTTGTAAAGTGCTTTGAGATGCGCTGAGGAAAGGTGTTTTAGAAGAGCTATGCAGTAATATGGGGATCTTTTTCCTGCATTTTGTGCACTCCAAAGCTGTGTGACTGAATACCTGTGGAAATTTGCTTCTTTACAGGTAAATCGGTTTAACAAGGTTGAGGACAGAGCAATTTTTATCACTGATCGACACCTTTATAAGATGGACCCCATAAAACAGTACAAGGTGATGAAGACCATCCCACTCTACAATGTAAGTAAAGAGGATTGGAACCTGAGGGCTTGGGATCTTTTACCATAGACTCTAATGCAGACTCCCTCTGAACTCAAGTAAGGTACTGAACACGTGGCTCAGGTAAGGTAATAAACATGTGGCACAATTTCTCCACCTACTAAGTGAAGATGACACTTACAGTGAGTCGTGTTTAACATCCTGAGAGTTGAGCAATGCCATTTCCTTGCAAGGCGGTTGTTTGTTCTAATTCCACCATAAAGATCAGGAACCAAACTGCTCGTTATTAGGTCTGTGCGAAGTGGCTAGTATTTGCTTCAGATTCGGATTCATCTGATTCGGGGGGCAGTGATTTGATTCAGTTATTTGAATCACTGTCCTGATTTTATTCTTTTGAATCTGATTCGGAGATTCAGCAGCAGCCGAATCTCCGAATCAGCCGGGCCAGGCCCATCCCCCAACCCTCTCCCAGCTCAGCAATGGCTGCCCCGCCTGCCCCAGCTCCCTGCAGTTGGTGGGGAAAAAAAGCCCCAGTTCTGCAGGTACTGCTGGGCGGGGGGTGATCTCCACCACCCTACGCTGCGTGGGGGCCTCTGCATGAGCCCCTGAACCCCCTCCACCCCTGCTACTCCAGGCCCCCCACAAGTGCCCTGCACGGGCCAGCTCCAGCCCTTTAAGAAAAAAAAAACCCCAAAGCCTTTTTTTCCTAAAGGGCCAGAGCCGTGGTAGACCGGGGAGGGGGGGGAGCGGCCTGTTCCTCCTTTCTCTCCCGAACAAAGAGATGGGTGGATATTCAGCCACAGAACCAGCAACAAATCGAAGTGAAAGAGCCCGCATGCCCCACAAAAAGAAGGCGACCGTCTGTGCTCTCCCAGAGCCCTGGAGACCCAGTGCCTGATGTGGCCTTACTAATGGCGTTGCAGCCACCAGGGACTGCCCAAATCATCAAAGCTCTCTGAATCTTTGCCAAAGATTCAGAGAGCTTTGAATTGATTTGGACCTTTAAATTGGTCCTCAGTTCGATTTGGATTTGGAATTTTGGCCACCGAATCGAGCCAAATCTTCTCTGAATCGAATCACCACCCGAAGCTTTGCACAGCCCTACTCGTTATATTTTGCTCTGCAAAATGTTTTATCGTTTTCTTACAGTGTGCTGCAGCATCATGGCCCCGTGCAGTGAGGTTAGTATGTCAGAGTGGCTAACTTAGGTTTTTTATGCCTTTGTGGTTTGGCTTGACCCTCAACATTGTTTGAATTTTTTTTGTAAAGCTTATAAAAAAACTAAATTCTGAATCAGCCTAGTATTTGGCCTCCAGGCTAACAGAAGCTTAGCTCACATTGACAAAGATGCAGATTACGACTGGTGGGAGGGAGCTGGAAAGAGCTGGCCTCTTAGCTCTTCGGTGTCCCTTTTCAGCTGATTCACTTCTAATTATTTATTTCAGCCTGAGGTAAAGCCACAATGATTATAATGAAATGACAAGGCCCAATTGTGTTGCTTTGAGAATGTCACTGCCGTACACAGTAGGGCTGTGCAAAGCTTTGGGTGGTGATTCGATTTGGAGGAGATTTGGCCCAATTCGGCGGCTGAATCTCCAAACCCTCATTGAATCAGGGGACCAATTTAAAGGTTCGAATCGGTTCAAAGCTCTCCGAATCTTTGGAAAAGATTCGGAGAGCTTTGATTCGGGCAGTCCCTGGTGGCTGCAGTAGGGAGCTGCAGCCACTCCGAGCTGGTAAGTACGAGGTGGAGGGGACCATGGGGGTCCCCTGCCAGCCCTTCTGCCCCAGCACGGTACTTTAAAGAAAAGCCCAAGTGCTCACCAGGTGCCGCCAGGCAGGGGGGTGATCCCTGCTGCCCCCCACTGCCCCATGTTGCATGGGGGGGCTCTGCCACAAGCCCCCTGACTCCCCCCTGCTCCCCCAGCCCTCCCATGGGTGCCCCACCCAGGCCAGCTCCAGCCCTTTAAGAAAAAAAACAAACGAGAAAAGCCCTAGGACTCTGCCACTCCTGCAGGGGCTTTGGGGGCTCATGTAGAGCCCCCCACGTGGCATGGGACAGTGGGGATCACCCCCTGCCAGCAGGAGCAGTGAGTCCTGAGGTTTTTTTCAGGGGGGGGGGGTTCCCTTAAAGGGCTGGAGCTGGCCCCCATGGTGGGGCTGGGGGAGTGAGGTGGGGGTTGGGTCAGGGGGCTCATGGCAGAGCTCCCCCACACAGTGTGGGGCAGTGGGGGCCAGCCGGGATCGTCCCTGCCTGGCAGCAGGGGGCTCATGGCAGAGCTCCCCCACACAGTGTGGGGCAGTGGGGGCCAGCAGGGATCGTCCCTGCCTGGCAGCACCCGGAGATCCAGGGTTGTTTTTTTTTTTGTTTTTTTTTTAACCAGTGCTGGGAGCTGGGGCAGCCATTGCCGGGCTGGGAGAGGGGCAGGGGATGGGCCTGGCCTGGCTGATTCGGCTGAATCTAATCAGGACAGTGATTTGAATCGCCAAATCGAATCACTGTCCCCTGAATCGGCCAAATCCGAAGCAAATACTAGCCACTTCGCACAGTCTTAGTACACAGTCTTACGAAATGAATGTTGGGATGTTGTCAGTGGAAGAAATAAGTAAACCAGTGTGCCCTGTATGTGAAAAGGGGAGGGGAAATTTAGACTGGGGCAAGAGTCATAGGGACTCTGAAAAGGGAGTCATAGCTGGTAACTCTCTTCTATAATTTGGGCATTAGTCCTACTTTACCCTCTCAAGCTCAATTGCTCCTCCTTGTCCTTCATCTACCCCAAATGTGTGTTAGTGGTTGATGAACGCAGCGAACCAGGCCAGGGCGTGCATAATGGGGCAAAGTGTTTGCTTACATGAGTCATTTTTTTCCAGTAAGAATAGTGGTTGCAACAGAGCATTGTCACAGCATCAGTTTCCTATGCTCTGAAAAAAATATCTCAGCCTTGCTTTTCCATTTTATGCAGCAGCTGCAGGATATTTTCCTGGACTGATGTTCTGTTTAATTGTCATTATCTCTTAATTGCACAAATTGAAATTGTCAACAGATTAAATATTTGAACAGCAGATTCCAGCCAGTTCCAAACCAACTTACTGTATTTTGTTGCATACAATATGTACCTTTCCCACCCAAAAAAATCCCTCCCAAAACAGGGGGCGGGGGTGTTTCTATGAAGCAGGAACACTAATTTTCTGCCTATGGCTGAAAGCACCCTGGTTTGATTTTTGCTGTACATTGCAGCAGCCGTGGTATTACTGTTCAGGCAGCTGGGTCAATTGACTTAACGGCTCATTGTTCCTTACTCTACAGGTGTTAAAAATTGTCTCTCCTTTTTCCCAGTTTTGATGTTCCACTAATCAAGCTAAACTCTCTTAGAGCAATTTTGCTGTCTGGTAGCTGCTCCTGGTCTCTGTATTTCAAAACTTCATCTGTTTAGCACAGATGCTTTAATTCTTTGCAGAATCCTAGATTCACCCATGAAGACCAGTCGTTAGCATTAGCTAGGGATTTGGCTTAGATTATGTAGGAAAGAGTGGGCGAGTCAATTGAAGATTAGGCTCTGTCCATGCTCTATGCAGCCATAACTAGAAAGATCTTTTATCTATCTTCATTCTGCCTTTCAAAAATAAGGTGCATATTATATTTGGAGGCATGTTGTGTGTGAGAAACTATGTGATTAAAATATACAGGGAATCTGCTTTAAACTATGCTGAAAACATGCTGCTGGATTCTGTTATTGCTTGTGTGCATCGCAATGAACCTGTTTGCTGGACAAAGCAGAAACCAGATTTTCATTAACATAGTGAGCAGCTGTGAGCTTGTCACCTCTCTCGTTAGATCAATATAAGTCACTTACTACATGAGTAACTGAAAATAAGTCCACATATAACTCGTGACCACTATCATCCTTCTTTTCCAATAGGTGCCTGCTTTCCCTTTACATTTATCATCCATATAGGTTTGAAGGCTGAGCTTTTCCATTGTTCTAGCAGACAGACAACATCTTTCAGTGATAGTGATGCCAGTGGTGCTGACAGCTCCAGTAGCCTGAGCATAACTATATTTGCTCTGAAACTTAATGTTTAAAAAAAAAAGAGGGTTGCAAATTAGTCTGCATACAAGTTGCCCAAAAAACAAGGCTGTGGGTGTGAAGAACTTGTAATTATAGACCTTCACATAATGCACATGTCTACAATAGAGCATCCATTCATATGTAGTGAATGAAGACTTCCTTGCAGCATAAGCTTTAGAGCATTAGCTGAGATGCCAGCAAGATGTAATTCAAATTTCATGTGGCAATGAAACAGTTAAGATTTCTGTGCATCTAGGTCTTGTGCTTTTTGAATGCTGAAGATTTCAATAGATAAAGATCAGCTTTTCTAGTAAATCTGCAATTATCCCTTTAGCAGCCTGCCACTGAGGAGGGCTCTTCTGTTAAACGGTCTCCTTGATATAAACAGTTGTCAGAGATCCTGAAGTATTTTGCAAGAGGGAGAAGCAAGAAAAGAATGCATTCTGCAGAGCACAGAGACCTCCAAATGCTGCTGCTCCAGATAGGGTAGAGTTTTCAAGACTTGCCATGCCAGGCTGTTCTTCTTTTCTGTGTGCTTATCCTAGTGTGTGGCCTGTGGGAACACTAGAAATTGGTCCAGAAACATTGCATCATAGTGCTGAAGCATGCTGCCTGACTAAAGGCTATAGTGATTTATCACTGACTCTGTTCCTTGCAGCAAGAATAAGAGTGGAAAGAAAGGAATTCAGAGTTAGATTTGATTTGCACACATGTGAACTGCTCTGGTTTTCTAGTTTACAGGACTCCCTAAATTAAACCCCTGCTAAGTGCATCAGCTCTCTGCCTGTAGAATTGTTTTAGGCCTTGTTAATCAGCATTTGCCGTTTGTCTTTTAATAGTTGATCTGTTAATTATAGATCTCATCTTTCAGGACACGTGGCCCCATTTAGCACAGGATGCTCTTTATTCTGGTTTATATTTTGCTGAGGGAGATGGCATAAATAGCCAGTTAATGATATAGATGTTTCTTTTCTGGGGGTGGAGTGGAAGGGGGAGGGGACTATTTGGATTGTATGTTTTTAAGAAGCAAGTGGATAATAATTACACTAGCCTTAATGCTTATGACATTAGTAGATGTGCCTTGCTAGACAGATGTGTGTTCATCTGGAAGATACATTGCCATTCCAGTGTTTCCACGGGTGAGCCCTGCTGACATTCATCTGCCTGCCAGCAGTGCTCACTATCGCCATTTCTAAAGCACCCTATCAACATGGCAACATCCCTAGGGATGGTGTTTCCATGGAAATCTCATTGGAGACAGTCAGCTGATGTCTGGTACATCCGTAAACTTGTTTTTAGCTCAAGAAACCATCCTGTAGTTTCCCATCTCCTTTTAAGTGTTTTGTTTATAAGTAACAACATAAAATATCCTTTAACATGTGCCGGATTGCAAATTCCATCTGTAATTTTGTGCTTGTGTTTAGCAACTGTGTTTGTCTGCATAAACTGGGCTTTGTGGAACCTGGCATTCAGTAGGCTGGCAACTTAACTCTGTTTACATGCACATGTCCCTTAAAGAAAATGTTTTATAAAAACTAGACACAATTTAAACTGCTCTCTGAAATGGAAAAGATTAGAAGGATTTTTGGTGTATACATGTTTTATACCTAATCTCTAACAGTTTTTTCTAGAGTCTGTTACCACTATTTTGAGATCCTAACATTCAATGTGAATTTTATTTATTTATTTATTTATTTGTTTATTTATTTTTAAAGGCAGCATTCATTTTGTTCTTATCTACAGAGGGAGAAGCTGATCATTTGAAATGGTAGGGGGGAGTTTAAAAGGGATTGACTGAGCAGTGGAAGAATCACTTCTGACCACCTTTCACAGTAGAAACATGGATAAGACAAAGGATGGTCTTTGGGGAGTTTTTTCTGATCTTCAGGAAAAGCTAATACCCAGGAAAACAGGATTACTATTCCTTGTACTTACTGAGACCATTCCAGTGGAGATGCCTTCATTTCCTTTTTTTATAAAGTCTTTAAGATTCAGTCTTATATTTTCCAGACTGCAGCAGAAAAAAACAAGAAATGTTTTTGCTAAAGGGCCATTGGTCTCCTAACACAGCTCAGCTAACTATTAATTTTTAAATAGTCTTTTAAAATTCAAGTACTTCATTCTTTTTTTTTCATAGTAGATGCACATTTAAAGCCCAGCTAGCAATAATCCATGGATTTCTCTTGTGAGCACAGGCTGATATTTATTTAAATATGCAAATTTAATTTTAAGGAACATATACCCAGATAGCTGGTAATTTCCATGTATAAATGTAACCTGGTTTTAAATTATTTTATAATTTTTTAAAGTATTATGTAGAGTGGAGAATAAAAGCCCTCATTGTGTGCTGTAGGTGAGCTACCATCAGCAGGAAATCTCTGTTGGGAATCTGAAATATTAAAATTGGTCTGTGTAGTTAGTCTGAAAGCTTAGTCTATTTTATTGCAGCAGTGAGCTGTCTCAGATTGAGGAAGTGTGGGCACTTGTGAACGTGTGTAGCGTAGCATGTGATATATTAGTTGGGGTTTCTGTTTGTCAGTTATTTCTGAAATTTGGAGGCAGCTACTCTGGTATTTGTTACACAGACTTCTGGGGGGTGCTGCAGCAGTGTTATGTCTCTGATTGGTATGGTTCTGAGAAATGCTGCTTTGTGGAAAGTGCCTCTGGGATTGTTATTAAACCTATGACTGATCCTGATCATCCCTGAATGCAGTATAGGCTTCTACAGGTTCTAGGTATTCTCCAGTTAGATTAGTTCTGATATTTATTCCAGCACAGGAGATGGCAATTTGTAGTTTCTGGTTTCATCCAGATTAATTGCCCCTCATTTTTAGCTTGTTCAGGCAGTCCTAGAGGGGGGCCCATTTTGTCTCATGAGGCTTGTGGAGGCAAAATATTGAGAGAAAAATAGATCTTCTGCTGTGTTTTCCTCTTCTGGCATGTGGGGTCTTTTATTCCAACCTCTTAAAAGCGAGTCTCTCTTGATTTTTTTTTTTTTTTCCTTTCCTTTCCTTTTCTTTCTTTTTTAAAATTATTATTATTTTCTGTCTGTCCATCCCCTTCCTCTGTGCCCCTCTTTCCCCCCCCCCCCCCCCCCCCCTGCAATATCTTTACATCTTGGAGACAGTAGGCCTTTTGGTTAATTGTCTATCTAATGGTAAAGATATAGATTATATGTATTTTATATAGTCTAGATATTTTTATGTAGAGAGAGATGGATTATATGTGTGAGAGATATGAATAGGCATACACTGACATTCCTGTATGTAATCAAGAGGCCAAATATGTATATAATCTCCATACAAATACTTGCACTGTATCTAAATCTGTTTCACTGGTTCTCCACCTTAAGTTCTGCATCAAGATGGTTACCTAGTTAATTTTGTTATTGGTTTTTGCTCATTGATCCCTCCTAAGGGCTATGTTTGATTGTTAAGCTGAAAGAAAAAAAATGCTCTCCATCACACCACCATTCTGCTGCTGGATTCCTTTGGAAAGGAAAAACAAGTGCTGGTACAACTGCCACCTGCTGCAATGACATCCATTCAGAAATTATTGGTAGCCAACACCCCTACAGGAATTGGCAAAAGGCTTTTCCATTCTTAGCCTATTTGTTCTTGCAAGTGGCAGTGGGGGCACATGACGGTGCCTAGCACAACAGGCCCCTGGTCCACAGTAAGACTGGTATGCTTTGAGGAATATGTGACTTGCTTATGTCACACGACTTGTATCTATGAACATGGTTACTGTGGTAATGTTTATACATACTACTACTACTACTACTACTACTACTACTACTACTGCTACTACTACTAATAATAATTTTACAGATAAAGAGTTGATACAAACTCTCAGGAGTTTACTACATTCTTTTTGGACACTTGGCTCCCAGAATAATGCACAATTTCAATCTCTTCTTCTTTGTCTTAATTTGGGGGGGGCTTTCAGAAGCTGAATGCTCTGCCTATTAACCTTTGCCATAGAGTGAGCTTTGTGATCCTTTATAACTAGAACTGAAGGCTTGGGATAGTGTATTGTAGCAAGTGATAGAATTTAAAGACAGAAATAATAGTAGATAATCTACTCCATTCTGCTGATAGTACAGAGTGGTTAGGAAGATACTTAAATACGTAAAATAATAATCTGTGTTTTCTTTCTGAAGTTGATAGGATTGAGTGTCTCCAATGGAAAGGACCAGCTTGTGGTGTTCCACACAAAAGACAACAAAGACCTCATTGTCTGCCTCTTCAGCCAACAGCCGACTAATGAAAGCCGTATTGGAGAGCTGGTTGGAGTCCTAGCAAACCACTTCAAGGGGTCAGTTTTTCATTTAATTTTCAGAGTCCAGTTCATCAGATCCATGAATTCTTTAAAAATGCTTGATGCTGATGTCTCTATGTAACAGTGTTAATTTACTATGCCATGTTCAGGCAGAAGCAGCAATTATTTTTATATCTGTAACAAGGCATCCAACCAGTGAGAGCTTCCAAGATAATTCATTAGCCAGTACTAAGTATTTTGGGCATCTGCCTGCCAAAAGATGTATATTTGAGGTCTGAGCCAGAGATTAATGAACATACATTCTGAATGTGAATTACAGATGACCTGTTCTTCTCAGGGTCTGGTCCTTAATTTTTACTTGCATTGAATTAATCAGTTCTTCAGTTTTCATTTTGTTCTATTAATAATCATTCTGCTCTTGATTTTTAAACGTTTGTCTCTCTACTTCCGTGTAAAGTGTTGTCTCCGTACGTAGAGTCCATCTACACCTTAATGCAAATCCTGTCCAAGAAGCAGAGTAAATACTTCATGATTAAGCTGTACTGAGTTCTATGCTGCTCTGGCGGTGTGCGACTAGTACCCAAACGAACTAGTTTTGATGCTAGCTTGGGTGTGTCTACAAGAACTTTGGTCAGGCCATGACCGCACTAGAGATATACCCATATACCCAAATCAGGAAACTGACTGTGTTAACGAAGCCTAAAAAGCCATAGCTAGCTCATCAATCAGCCTTCATACTAGAGGAATTCTTATTAGACAAAGACATAATCTGCAGTAAGACCATCTGCTTAATAATTTAACCATTCTTGTTTATTTTGTTAGAAATCTGTCCGTCTAGTTCTGTGTGCAGTAGTGGATTTGTACTTGGATTGTGTGCTGGTCTGTGTTCTAAAGTTTCATGGACCATGACATCTCATATAAGAAATCTTTTTTCATGTAGTGAATAATTTAACATGTGGAACTCATTGCCACAGTGTGCTGTGGAGGCCAAAAGTGAAACCAAGTTCTAAAATGGGTTAGACAAACTTACAGGAGATGGGTCCATCCAAGGCTGTTAAATACAACATTTAGGTATGTAACATGTCCACGATGATAGAGGAGACTTGTTTCTTATACTCTTCCTTTAAAGCATCTGCTACTTGCTATTGTTGAAGTGATGGACCTTTGGTCTGATCCAGTATGACAGTTCTTATGGTAAGGCAAACCTGCTGCTATAAATGTATTGTCTTTTGAATTTGGCCTGTTTTTTCCATTCTGGTCCCGTGATGTTTTGAAGCTAACCTTATTTTTCATCTCTCTCGCTTCAGTTTGAGTTTTGCTTTGTAAGTTGGACTGGAGAGTGCCCTGGGACATGGTGGTGGTAGTGTGACAGTATAGTGCCTCCATTTCATGACAAAAGACATTTTTTCTTGTTGAGCCCAAGTCTTGTATTTTTAAACCTCCTGCCAACTGAACCTGTATGGCTGTACAAAGCTTGAGAGCAAGTAGCAGTCCTGCTTGAGAATACATTGTATGAAAATGCCAATTTGTATATAAGGAACCTATTATTATGCAAAAAAATTGAGAGAAGGTAACATTTTCCTCACTGAGCGACTTTTTGACCCTTTGTCCTCTGAACCAGTCAGTGCTTCTTTTAGTAAAGATCTAATTTGTTTAGCACTAACTTTCTCCTTAAAATTAGTCTTTAGGGAGATTTCTCTTACTCTAGCAGAAGCAGTGGCCACACGGAAGGAAAACACCCTCCCAAATTGTTCTGTATTCCTGGCTGGCCAAAGGGAAGGAGGTCCAGTGGCTTAACCCTCAAAGATAGTGCAGTGTACCATTCCTTTGCTTTATTTCCCCTCCCTACCAGTACTCTTTGCTTTGTGTTCACACCCCAGCATCCATAGCTTATTTCCATGAATATCCAGAAGGCAGGGGGAGTAAAATGCTACAGACTCTTCTACACCTCCTGAAGAGAAGTTCAGGCAATCTGTTTTGTCTTTGCTTCTCCTTTCTTTCAGCTACAAGTACACTGAAACTTCCTGCTGTGCTCCCTAACCTGTGTTAATCAGCCCCTTAAGGTTCTGACATTAGCTGGGTGGCTATGTAGCTTTGTTGAATACGGCTCTAGAATATCCCAAAGAATTTGTAGCTAGCAGAGTTGGCACATCGTGTTGCAATTTCCAGGAACAGTCCCAGTTCCACTTCTGCATAGTTTGAATAAGCACACTGAGTATAATAACCCAGAGTAGCCTTTATTTATTATCTGTCAGGTGATCAGGCTGATTGACGGAGGGGAGAGGTGTAAGCTACGGAGATCCAAAGTCCTTCAAAATCCAGCATTTTATATACATGCATTATTCCTTGAATAATCCAATCACACGTTAATACTCATTCAGTTGTGGAGATGCATTTACTAGCCAATTAGCATATTAATTACGTGCCAAGCGTGCATCTTTTCAATACCCAAACTGTTTACATGTTCTACATGTTGACACATCATTAATTTAATTTGTGTATTACGTTCCTGTTCAGTACCAACTTAACCATGAGCAGCTTGATTAGTTCTTGGTTATTTGAGGTTTGTTTTTTTTTTTTGTTGTTTGCTTTTTTAAGGCAGCTCTCCTTCATGGCTTGGTACATTTTACATTTTGATATATTAACCCTTTCTAACACTTTAACTAGGCCTGGCTTGGGCTGGCACAAGCACTAAGGCACACAGTTAACAGCCCAGAGGTTGCAAGTTTGAGGCTACAGCAGAAGTGCTTACAGCGTGGCCTGTCAAATTCCAACAAATCTGCAAAGTCTGCTAAATAGCTTGTCACAAGAACATGAAAAAGGAGAGGACTAGGCCTAACCTACTAATTCAAGCAACACACTACAGGAACCGGTGTGGGACATCATGTAGGATGATAGGGCAATATTGTACTGTGTGACAGGTACCACATTGACTCAAATACAGGACAAGGTTTTTTCCCCTAGTCAGCATAGGGGAAAAAAAGCCTCTTGTCTTATATTCGCATACAAGGAAACCACATTATATACAGTGTCATTAAACTACTGCCCAAAGCAGCATGTGCTCAGTAATGGAAACCAACTATGAAGTTGATTAAATGTGGCCAACACTGAGCATGACCATAAAACACGTGGCCCGTATTTGGCAAACATATTGATGGAAACTGTTTTCTTTTTATTTACACTTTTTATTAAAACACACACTTATCACCCTACACTTACAAAGCATCACATATTAAGCATCCTTGTTTTACCAAAACTTCATATCGCAAAAACAACTACATATACTAAACCTTTACAGAACAATTTTCCTTCATATACAACCTCATAAAAAAACTACTACCTCAGTAACCATCTGAAACTTTCTGCCCCTCCCATCAGTCTTCTCTATTAGGGGTGTGCAAGATGGGCCGTATTCAATTTGAATTCGGCCTGAATCGGGGTCACTGATTCAATTAGTTGATTCAGATCACTGTCCCGATTCAATTCAGCCGAATCCAAATCTGAAGATTCAGTGCTGATTTGGAAAATCAGCAATTTGGCCATAGACACAGCTTGAAATATTTTTTCTACATACCTTGCTTTCATAGGGTTTGGGACACCTGTGGAATAGGTGTCCTGCCCTCCCACAGCTACTGCATTTTAGGGATTCCTAGCACTCTACAGCTCTATGCCCCTTCCCTTCACATCTGTAACACACTATGAGGAGACCACCATGTATAGACAAGTGCCCTTCCTTGTCACTTTGCTACATTGCTTTGGTTGCTTGTGGTTCATTGTAAATCCCTGGTGTGGCCTCAGCTGGATCACAGATGGGAGGTACTGCACCCGACCTGGGCTCCACTTGTTTGCTTTCAAGACAACTCGTGCCCTCCAAGACCCGTCCATATACTATATTTATCCCATACCTTCTGTACACACACTACTCTTTGCAAATTCAATTCCATCCACCTTTCTATGTCTTCTACCTCTAATAAATCCATATATGTTCTTACTATAATCGCTCATTCCCTTGACTTTTCCCCTGCTATAAACTTTATCCCTCTTAATTCCTCCCTTCCACATTCCTCTGCATGTTTCTTCCAAAAATGTTCTTACCCTTCACCGTTCCAGTAAGTAAACTCCTAAGTCTTTCTGTTTTGGAAAGCAGTCAGACTGGTGAGATGTTCTGCCTGCACCTCCAATATCTTAAATATCTTACCTTTTGTATGAACTCTTATCTGTTCATTGTCAATCCCATCTGCATCGCGTCACCGGTTGATATCGATTTTATCCTCAATCTCTGATCCTCCCTGACATCTCTTGCTGCATCTTCAGTTGTGCCTTCCTGTTGTGCCGCTCCTGGTGGGCTGGCATTCTGTTGTGTTCCTGCCACTTTTTGCCTCTCGTCCAACGTATCTTCTCCTGCTGTTCCTGCTCTATCTTCTTTTCTCCTTCTCTCTGGTCTTGCCTCTGGCCTTGTTCCTCTCCCCATCACCTTCTTTGCCACTGCATCTGACATTGTTGCTGTTTCTGCTGTTGCTCTCATCTTTGTCATCTTTCTTCTCTGCTTCTCCACCTTTGTCCACTCTCCATTTGTCTCTAGACTAAATTTTCCACTCTTTAACCAGGAGGTGGAAAGTGAGATACTTGCCACCACTGCCTTTGTTTTGAGTTCCACTCCTTACACTCCATCAATCCCTATCTCTGCCCTTACAGCAATGATCAGGCTTTCAGCTGATTGCTTGATCTTAGCCCAGGAGGCCGAGAAACTGCTGATGGGATCTACCACAATGTTTTTGTTTGTTTTATGGGCCAAATCAGTTCTGAATCCTATTGGGCAGAGCCCAATGATCAAGTTCCAAGTTTGAACTGAGCAGAGCTCAGTTTTTCAAGTCCTTGTGGCTTTAACACCAGGCAAGCATCCTCCTTCCCAGATCATCAGTCCGAGGCTTCAAATACTCCTCAAATCTGTGGTAGACATTCTATGTGCAAGCCCAGTGACCTTGGGGTTTGGATGGCCCCCTAATCTTACTTACTCTTAGCCAAAAGGTGAGGGG